TGTGTGACCTGCTGTGGTCGGATCCTGATGATCGCGGTGGGTGGGGTATCTCTCCCCGAGGTGCTGGCTACACCTTCGGACAGGACATCTCTGAAACCTTCAACCACGCCAACGGCCTCACTCTGGTGTCCCGCGCCCATCAGCTGGTCATGGAGGTAACACATGCAAACACCTTCACATGAAGACATAAAGGCAGCCGAGACCAACTGAAGCTAAGTGTTAACCAAATATGTAGAATAGAGTAGTAAATTAGTCATTTTCATTATTTTTTATATAATTTTTTTTTATTAGTATACAAAACTTAAATTATTCAGATTCCAAACTGAAGTCTTCAAATGTCTTTTTTTATCCAACCGGCAGTCCAAAACCAAAAATGTTTAATTTACTGTCTTTAATGATAAAACAAGAATCATATTCTCGTGTGTTGAAGCTTCAACCTGCAAAAATGAAAATAAGTCATTTTCCTTTCAGTCGACGAAACAGTTAGTGGAATGTTTGTTGGAATTTTAAAAAGACTTGTTTGATCTTGGCAGATTGAAAACCACAAATGAAAAGAAGCATTTAATATTTTAAGCTTCAGTGTTTTTATTTTAGTGGAGCTGACACACACGCTCCCCCACAAGTGGACTGAAGGATCCTAAAACCCTCTGGTCTCCATGGCAACACAATATAATGAAGTTGTGAGGGTGCAGTGCTCCTCTAACTCCTGTTTCTGGGCCAGTTTCACTGACACACACACACACACACACTCTCTCTCTCTCTCTCTCTCTCTCTCTCTCTCTCTCTCTCTCTCTCTCTCTCTCTCTCTCACTCACTCACTCACTCACTCACTCACTCACTCACTCACTCACTCACACACTCACACACTCACACACACAGCTGCAGCAAACTGAGCGTTTAAACACATCCTATGTTCTTTATTAAGAACGTGATTGATCGTATCTCTTATCAGAAGAGCAAAGTTTCAGTCGACTGGTGGTGATGAAATTGCTTTGAATAATAGATGTGTCGTTAAAACATCAGAGTGTAGTTGTCCTCCTGCAGATGAACACAGTAAAATATTCACCAGTCTAACCACCTTGTGTTATCGCACCTTCAGGGCTACAACTGGGGCCATGATAAGAATGTGGTGACCATCTTTAGTGCTCCAAACTACTGCTACCGCTGTGGAAACCAGGCAGCCATCATGGAACTGGACGACACTCTGAAATACTCTTTGTAAGTATAAAGACATTTAAGAAATAACACGTTGTGTATGAATAACAAATACAGGGTTCAGAGATGGACTGAATTTATCTTCTTAGATTTTTGTGTGTTTTCACAACAAAATGTCTACGTCATGTAAAACCTCGCTCTACTGCACATGTAGCCACAAAATTATGTTTTAATCGTTTGCAAGACATAAATACAGTATAATCATGACATCATACTAAGTTTTAGAGAGCCCACCCTCTGTGTTTAAAACAACATATGTTCAGAGGACTGTGCAGACTGTTGGCAGTATTACAGAATAGATGTTGTTATGAGGTCATACAGCCCAGCTCTGATGTCACACACTCAGCATAGATGATCCTCGTGCACCTGAGTTTATTTAGACTGAACCTCAGGTCTCTGTTCACTGCAGTCACATGTTGAATTAAAGAGAACAGGTCACATGACTGATGAGACACTCGTTTTTTATTGGTGTGTTCTCACCTGACAGGAGACAGAACAGAAACTGTAAACTGTGTGTGTGTGACCAACAAAGCTCTGTGAAGTCTTTATTGTTGCTATGGTGAAAGGTTAGACGACTGAAAACAAGTGGTTAACGTCACGATGTCAGTCGTGGTCGAGGTCACATGACATCCACTCCTCTCTGTCACAAGGTTTGTTATGTGTCCTCAAACTGAGACTGAAAGTCATCAGATTCTCAGAGCTCGTCTCTGTTTGCTGAAATCTGAACTGGTTCTCACACAAAGCGGAGACAGAACTCGTCATGAGTCGTTTCCTCAGCTGCGGTTTGAGAAGTTTTTGACTCGCGGGGTTAATAATTGATCAGTCGATGGGATCAAGGCAGAGCAGCTTTATTTGGACAGCACATTTCAGTCCATTCATCAGACCTCTTCATATAAAATATAATAAAGGAAACAGATTTACAACACGAGAACAAAAAGATATAAAAGGTCAAATTAATTACCAAATGATTTACAATAAAAATACATAATTGAAAATAGCAAAGTGCAGACGAGGTGCAAACTTAAAAACATTATTCAAAATGATGCGGTCGGATCGATGGGTGAGAGGAGCAGCTGTTTGAGAGTGAGGTGACACTGCGCCTGATGCTCTGCTGCTCCGTCTGCAACACTGCCTGTTTAATCTACATCAGCCTATAGAAATGTCCTCATAGGTCTAATGGAGCACTCATTAATATGCGTTACAACAAAGTAGCTCCTCTGCTCTCAGCTGTTTAGGATTATTTGGTAATTTTCCTCCTTTTTCCGTTTTATTTGAGACGTTTCCTTTTTCAGATCTGGAGTCAATAGCTAGCCTCACGAAGGAGACTCAAGCGCAGCCATCAATATTGAGATTCGGCAAATTTTAGGAGACGGCGCCGGGCCGTAGACGTATGACGCACAAAGCTGACGAGATGTTAAAACCTTTGTTTATTCAGTGTGCAGGCTGCGCATTTATACAACTGGACAATGCAAGAATCACATCAAGGCTGTAATGATAAAGGCAATAAATATAAACATGTAGAAATAAATAAAGTTATAATATAAAATGTTTAGTGAATGTTGAATTATGAAATAAAAGTTCCCTGCAATAAATAACAGTAGTCCTTTAAAATAACTTAAGAACTAAACTATATAGACTAATTTATTTGTATGTTTATTCCCTAATTTTTTCCAGGATTTTACTTCGTCATATTGATTGATTGATTGATTGATTGATTGATTGATTTAATATTGACTCCGCAGTAAATGGCTACATCATCAACATCCTGCATTAAACATATTACAGAATAATGTTGAATTGTTTCGATGATGTCATCAATAACAAACTTTCTGCCTCCTCAGCCTTCAGTTTGATCCCGCCCCCCGCCGCGGCGAGCCCCATGTGACCAGACGCACTCCTGACTACTTCCTGTGAATGTCCAAAGCCATCCCCGTCAATCATCCACGAAGCTCCACACCCTGCCCTTCCCCCCACCTCACCCTTGTCATTTTGGATGGAAAGAAGATATTAATAATAATAATACTGTACCAGGGAGAATAGAAACAAACGATTGGCTGATGAACCAAGATTTTAACGTAAAGAGCGGCCCCCTCTACAGTCGTGTTTTCAATATGCTGTCATTAATGCTGTGCTTCTGGGGAAAAACAACACGTACAACTATGATCTGTTTCTTTTTTTTTTTTTTTTTGTTTATTACATGTTTGAAAACGAGATAATAAAACTACCAACGTGGACCAAATGTGCCATATTCTGATCCTTTTACAACATGTACAACGCGCGCAATGTTTCTTTCGTTTTTCTGTTTCTGTTCCGTTTTTTTTTTTTTTCTTTTTTTTTTTTTTAGACCAGCACTATAACCCTACCTACCTGACGACATCACCACCACACCACACACCTTCATGGCATATGTGCTTTTTTTCTGTTGCAAGAATAATTTTAAAAAAGGAGGAAAAAAAAGGAAAAAAAAGTTTGCTTCAAGTAGTACAGCTGTCAGTTTTAGCTGTCCAGGCTGCAGCCGGTGGTCATCTCAGCAAGTATATTACTGTAATTTGAATAAAGACAACAGACGTATGAAATAAAAATGTCCTATTGACAAACTACTGCCACGCCTCCGTCTTTTCTTTAGCTTCATCTTTATTCAGACATTTTAACACACCTGTGTCCATTTACTTTTTAGAAACCCAGGTGGTTCGTCTTTAGAAAAAAGACATTTACAAACTGAGTATTTTACTGGGGTTTGGTCTGTGCTATATTTACATATTAATATAAAACCTATCTGGGAGAAAATGAATGGGAATATAAACCTAAACAAATACAGATATTTAAAGAATACGTATTTTTTAAATCCATGTAACGTAAAGTGTAACTTTGAGGTGGACATAAATATTACAGCTTTTTTTTTTAAAAAAAAAAATGTCATCCTTGTTCATTATTTTTTAATTATGTTTTTTAAATTATGGTACATGGTGTTGACTTCTCAACAAATTTAAATTATCAATAATTTGTTTATTTTAAAAATGAAAATAAAAAATAGGTATGTAGATAAACAACTGTAAAATAATATAAATACAACATATTACATAATATTGTTATAAATATTACAAACTTTTTTACTTCATTTTAAACTTAATTTTTTAATAATAACTTTTATTTATTTTTTGATTGATTTTTTTACATTATGGTACATGGTGTTGACTTCTCAACAAATTTAAATTATCAATAATTTGTTTATTTTAAAAATGAAAATAAAAAATAGGTATGTAGATAAACAACTTTAAAATAATATAAATACAACATATTACATAATATTGTTATAAATATTACAAACTTTTTTACTTCATTTTAAACTTAATTTTTTAATAATAACTTTTATTTATTTTTTGATTGATTTTTTTACATTATGGTACATGGTGTTGACTTCACATCTTTCAAAAATTATTATATGTGTTATTCATAAAATAAATACGTAAATAAATGTATAAATATCACATTATATTACATAATATTGTTATAAATATTACAAACTTTTTTAATGTCATCCTTATTGTTTATCTATTTTTTAAAATTTAATTTAATTTTTTAATAATTCAATTTTTATTTATTTTTTGATTGATTTTATTACATGATGGTACATAGTGTTGACTTCACAACTTTTAAAAATTATTATTATTAATCTATATATGTATTTATTAATTTATTATGAAATAAATAAATATAATATTGTAATAAATTCTACCAACTGGTCATGTAGTCTACACGTTACTTCAACTATCGCGAGAGTTCACGGGAAGCGCTCACAACAAACAGTCTCCATGTTAGCTCTTCAGTCGGAGCGTCACTGTTAGCCGTGTTTTAACTGAAGGAGCTCACTCAGCTGATTTAAAAGGTGGTGTTTGGTGTTACTGGACTGTACAGGTGAGTGTTAGCTACCTGTTGAACACCTGACACACCACCATCCGGGTTTTATGGTTAGTTAGCTGTGTTTAGCTAACGACAGCTAGCCGTCGTCTGCTAGCATGACAAGCTAAAAACATTAGCTACCGGTGAGGGGGCTTTGGAGACCGGTGGTCCCTGGAAATAACAAGGAAGTTTAACTTGTGTTAAACTGTAACTGTACCAGCCAACTATATTATGAGATAATAAACCAAATTCTAAACGATCCGTTAATAGTTTGATTCAACGTGAAGTTGGATCACATTGACTTTATAAGTTAGAGGTTTATGTGTCTCCACAGTCTGTTGTCTGTCTGTCTGTTAACTGACCTAATGTCAATTATATAACTGCTCTCATGTCAATGCTTCATCACGTTCATACGTGTTTTCTGTCAACAAGAGAAAGAAAAGAAAGTAATTGATTCACTGACACGTCTCCGGCTCAAGGTGGCAGCAGATAATTTCTGACAGGCAGGACGATGGAGAGAGAGAGAGAGAGAGAGACAGAGACAGAGAGAGAGAGAGACAGACAGAGAGAGAGACAGAGAGAGCTCAGTTTGGAGGGTTTTTAAGTTTCACACAATGTTGAATAAGTCAACTCATCTAAATGTTTGAAGGGTTTACAGTCCTGTCTGCTTATGGAGGTAAAAGGTTTGTTTCTGTCACAGCCTGAGCAAATAACCCTGTTATATCATATTTCCATTTTATTTAGTTATTTCTTTAATTTTATTAATTTCAAATACATAAATATAAAACAAAATAGAATAAAAACAATTTGGGATGCGCAATAATATTGGCACATCATCAGTATTGGCCGATATTGGCTTTAACATAAAATATCAGAATCTGCCAACATGCTGCTTTCTGCTGACTTGACAAACTGATCTTTGTCCGCCCATTTTCAACCGCCTATCTGACACTGGGTCACGGGGGCAGCAGGGCAAAGCACCCCAGACGTCCCTCTCCTCAGCAACACTCTCCAGCTCCTCCTGGAGGACCCCGAGGCGTTCCCAGACCAGATGAGATCTATAATCCCTCCAGACCAGCTGGACCAGGAGGATCCTGATCAGATGTTGAACCACCTCAACATGAAGGAGCAGCGGCTCTACTCCGAGCTCTAAGGCTGAGCCCAGACACCTCTCTGAGAAAACTCATTTCAGCCTCTCTAGTCTAAAAGTTAATCTATATAAATACAGTTTATACAGGTAATAAAACAGCTCATGTGAAAAATTCAAAAGTATGAAGTTAGAATATAAATGACAAAAATTAAATTATATAAACAGAAGATAAAATAAATAAGTGTGACCTTTCTACAGTTAGCTTGTACTGCATTAATTACCACCAGAACGATGACGCAGAAAAGGTAACTCTGGCATTCTTGTAAATGATGATGAAAGGACCGTGAACTAAAGACAGCAGGTTATCACATAATTAGGCCTCCACACATGAAAATACATGGGCCTTGTTGAGGAGGTCCACTGCAATCGTGAAGAAACTGATTTTGAGACGTGAAGTTTTGGTCCTGATGTATCGCAGCCTCCTGCCAGAAGGGAGGGTGACAAAGAGTGTGTGTCCAGGTCAGCCACGATGTTTCCTGCCCGCCACAGGGTCGTGGAGGGGCGGCAGATTGCAGCGGATCTCAGCAGAATGAATGATACACTGCAGTCTGAGCCTGTCCTTGGCCTGGCAGCGTAGCAGGTAGAGATGGAGGAGGTGAGGATGGACTCAGTGATGGCAGTGTAGAAGTGTAGCATCACTGTCTTTGGCAGGTTGAATTTCTTCAGCTGCTGCAGGAAGTCCCTCCTCTGCTGAGCGTTCTTGAGGAGGTCCTGAGTGATAAAGGACGCGGCCCCCACTTGATATTTAGACACGCTCCTCTCAGATCAGTTGTGTCCATGTTTACACTGGCTTCATATGCAAACTGTTGAAGTAACCAGCATTCTGCTTGAACTCCCACAGACGTTCCCATCATCCCTTGCATTGTCTAGCTGAGGCATCATCATCATGAGGAGGAAGAGGACGAGGAGGAGGAGGGTGGTGCAGCCCGTTCTCTGATCTCTGTCCATCTGTATGGAGGATGTGGTTCTGCACTACCAGCCTGGATCAGCTGTTGGGCTCAGCTCTCTGTTGGAGAGGACAGAGAAGCTTCTGGAGTCTTTCCCCTGCCGGACTCCTCCGGTCTTCACCCCCTGGTTCCCGGACGCCGCCGCAGACCTCCACCTGCCCATCAGACCGGCCAAACCAGCTCCTGTTATCACCGGAACAGACATTCACACAGCACAAAACAAACCACAGAAACCCGACGCCAACGGTCTCGTTGATCGTCCACCTGCAGAGACACCACCTGAGAATCCACAAGATGCCGTTGGTGTCTCAGGAACCCCAAAATGTCTCCTCCCAGAGAGACAGGTCACCAGACTGCCTCCTGAAAACACAGACGGCCTCCTGGTCACACACTCGCCCGTCAAACGGTCCTGGAGCGTCTTCACTCAGAAAGGAGTCCTGCTGCCGAGCTCGCAGTCGCTGTCCAAGCAGTTCCATCACATGGTGTCCGTCCACAGGCTCCACCTCCACCAGAGGGCCAAGTGGGTCATCAGTCAGCACAACTGTGGGGCGGCCAGGGACATCGAACAGGTGGGTAACCTTCATTTTTGAGAGAGACAGTAGGTGTGGGGAGGGAGGAGGGAATGGGATGACCAAAGCACATGAAACATTAGGCTACAGGCAGCGTGCTGACATGCTCACATGCTCACAGTGACAACAGGCTGATGTTTAGCAGGTATCACACTGTTCTCTTGTTCTCTACATCTCCTGTTTCCTCTCCTCTTCTTCTCGTCTAATTTTCCATCATTGTCTTCCTCCCCTCCCCCCGCCCCGCCTGTGGCTCCTCCTCCCTGCAGGTGTGGCGGGCTCTGAGCCGGTCCGTCCAGAGCTCCAGGCTGCCGACGTGCAACGCCAACATCCAGAGGGAGCGGGCGGAGATCTGGGTCTTCTGTGACGTCGCCCACTGTGAGCGGGTGGGACGTCTCCTGAAGGACGAGCTGCAGCTGTCGGGGAGGATCGGCCTGTCGGTGCGAAGGCTGGGAAACATCTTCAGCATGTAGACTAGCTTCAGCCGGAACATTACGATCAATACAGACACTCAGGTTTTTACTAATCGTGTTTACAGGCTGTGATTATGATCACTGGTCTTCTGAAGGACAGGGACAAACATTTTTATTAGTCATGCTAACGTTATTAGCGTAAGCCAATGGCATTTTACATTGTATAAATTAGCCTAGCAGAGATTTCCTCTCCTCATATGAAGCCAGGGACAACAGCAACATTTAACAAAGGTACCGTTACAACATTCTGCTCCATTACAGCTCACAGGGTTCACTGACAACACAATTTGTCTGACACACAAATATAAATCCACCTGCTCCTGTGTAGGAGAGGTGGTGGAGCCTTTTGTATATCTGTGCCCACAGTCCGCCCATGAATGTGTGACTGCTGGACAAAATGGTTCAAACTGGCTCCTAAATCCAGGATGTGGTGTTTAACTCGTCCAACACGTGACCAGGACTCTCCTAAAACATGATAACAGCATAAACACTGAACGTACAAACTATTGTCTGAACTGCAGCTTTTTACGCTGAGCGTTCTGTGTCATGAAAACAATCCTCATCAATATTTTATAGAACTCTGTTTCATTAATGAACTGAACCCTCGAACACACTCGTCTCTGTGTGTGTGTGTGTGTGTGCGCCAAATGTTTCTGTGTGTTTATGAATCTGAGAACAGACGCTAGTGAATGTATTTCTTATGTTGATTTACTGATGTAAATAAAGGTTTAATATTTTTAATGAGCTGCCTGTAGTGATGGGGGGAGGGAAGGGGGGGGGGTGGATGTTCAGCTCAGCATGTGATGTGCAGTGTGTTCTGGAAAAGCCGCAGCAGCAGTCACATGACTTGGGAGTCACCCCATAGTGCTTTTCACTGACACACACACACTGAAGAGGCTGCTGCTTGTGTAAGACCTGAATAAATGAGGACAGGGTGAATACAGTACACCCCCATCACACCACACTCTCTTCTGTTGCTATGGTCCCGTCTTGACAGCGCTGCACGCCGTATTAAAATCTAGGCCACCGGATGTGACGTCAGTGCCCTGCCTCCCAGCCTAGCTGTAATCGTTGGTAATCTCCTAAATCCGTCTGTATGGTCCCTGAACGTGACGTAGAAACAAGATTGTGGGACAAACCCGAAGTTTTGTGCATCTCTAACATGATCCACCTAAACATCAACATTATTCTGTTGGTTATGTTGTGTAAAGCATTAATGTTGCAACACATGTTCGCCAGATGTATTTTATTTTGAAAGCTATCCGGAAATTGTCGTCTGCGCTATATACTGTAATATAACAGGCAAGTAAGGGACTGTTGTTAACTCATCAAAAAAATCCTCAGTTTTTCCCTCTTTGGCCAAATTTTAAATGTACGTAGACGTAGAATGAACTGATATTTATAAAATACTATTTTAAGCTCAGATTTGCGCATGTTTTTCTTTTCTGACACAAGCCTTTGTCGCACATGATGTGTCCACGGACCATCAGAAATTCGAAAACTCTGATACTTTCTGTTTTTGCAATTTCTGGCTGTGATAAATGGTTATTTTGGTGATTTTTAAAGCAATCATCCTTCCCCAGTGCTTAGGGACTGTTTGCAACTTGTGAGAGTGGAGGGATTGGTACACTTTTTTAAGCACTGGGGAGGGAAATAAGTTTTTTTTATTTGGGCTTAGTAGAGGGGCAGAGAACTTTTAAGGGTTTTTAATTATTTTACTGCAGATTTTTCACGGTAACATCGCCAAAATTACATCATTTATCACAGCCAGACACTGTAAAACTGAAATTAGCGTTGGGTTTTCAAATTTCCAACAGTCCTTGGACACATCTTTTGCGATGAAGGCTTACGCCTTCAAAAAATGAATAGATAAAAAAAATAAGCAAAGCTGAATTTAAAAGAACGATATTTCACCAAAACCATCTCATTTAAAATTTGGCCAAAACTTAATTGTTTGCACGACAAGAATGAAAAACCTACGCTTTTTTAACTCCAAGATTCAACTCAACTTTTAACTTTTAACTTTCAAACATCAAAGGGTAAGTTTTTAAAACTCTAATAATTAATTTATGGTGGAGGAAAGGTCAAATATTTTTCCCAAATAATCGGGAAATATTTATAATTTTTGGGAGCGAAAAAAAAGTATAAATAAAGAACAGTCCCTTAAAAAAATTATTTGACATGCCTGCCCCTTTTTGTACCACTGCCCTCCCTCTTACAAGTAGTGAATGAATCATTAAAATAGACCTTGACAAAATCAGTTGATATAAATTGTATACTTATTTAAACAGATCAGATTTCCTTAAAGTAAACATTTATTTCATTTTTTTTGTATTTTAACACTCAAAAACTGGTTTTATTTTGACGGTCCGCACCGGAAGTACCATTGTCTCCGCTATCTTGATGCCAGTCTAGCTGCTAAAATCCAGACGGCTGAACCACGAGTGTCTTCTCATTGGAAATAATCGATAAAAATATCGGAATATTTCAGTTTGCAGGACACCTGGAGGTCGTGTGTGCTCCCTGCTCCATAATGGCGCCCGCTGTTCGCTCAGCTGGAGGATTTAATCGGTGAAGAACTACAAAAAGGTGAGACGGTTGGAGCGACTGACACCAAGCTAACATGCTAGGCTAGCGCTGGCATGCATTGTCGTTTCCCGTTTCCTGGAGGGATTCACAGTGTCTGTGCTTCATGTCTGACAGTTTTACAACAGTGATCATGAAGGGTTTCTGTGTGAGTGTTGATGAAGAGTCAGCACTAAGTTCTGCTTTGTTTAACGCAGCGGGGCGGAAAGTACCGGAATTGTTCGGTCTCATCCGTTTTCCTCGCTCCTCACTGTTTACTTAACGAAAGTCCCTTTAAAACTCCGCGTGTTTTGTTTGCATTTAGCTCATATTTACAATATACGTATATTTTAAGAAACTCAAACAGTGTGTCGTGTTGGGCACTTTGTATTGATCAGTTCGGCTTATTTATTAAGTCTGAAATTTCTTTATATTACATTTATTCTGGCTGTTAGTGATTATGTTGACAGGCACTCGGTTGCGACTGTTTATTTAACGAAAGCCCCTTTAAAACCCTGCGTGTTTTGTGTGCATTTAAGCTTATATATTCATAATATTCGCGTATTTAAAGAAATATTAATAGTGTGACATGTTCGACACGTTGTAGTGATCTGTTGGGCCTATTTAATGGAGCCTTATCATTCTTTAAATTCTGCTTGTTAGTGAGTATACTGACAGGAACTGGTCTGTTAATTTAACGAAAGCCTCTTTAAATCTGCGTGTTTTGGGGGCATTTGTAGCTTATATTCAAAATATACACATATTTAAAGAAATATAATTGGTGTGACATGTTAAACTCTTCGTATTGATCGGTTCGGCTTATATTTGCAGCCTGAATATTCTTTATATTCTGCTTGTTAGTGATGATATTGACAGGAACTGGTCTCGTACTGTTTATTTAACGACAGCCCTTTAAAAACTCGTGGTGTTTTGTGTGCATTTTAGCTTATATGTAAGATATACGTATATTTTAAGAAATAAAAATCGTGTGACATGTTAAACACTTTGTACTGATCAGTTCGGCTCATTTGATTTAGTCCGAAATCCCTTTATATTGCATTTATTGTGCTTGTCAGTGATATTCTCCCGACAGGAACTCATAAAATCAGTACCAGAATCAGTGCAATAAGCTACATCGATAACACAAGTGTGTAAAAATACAAAAAGATGTGCCTTGTGCTGCATTACCATTTATAAATATATAGACACTAATATGCAAAATTAGAAATAGAAAATACATGTGTGATTCTATTATCTATATATATGATGTACAACACAAGTGGAAATAAGAATATTAAATACAAACAATATGTGAGATTTTATTATGCTGTAACTGAATTATTGCACCAATTATTGTACAGTTAAGACAGTGTTATAAAGAATAATAGATAAATAGATTTAAAACTGGCGTAGGTACGAGTCCTAAATGACCATGAAAATGTATTTTTATCAAGTTTAATCATCAATTACTTCATTCAGTCAGCAACAAATGTCGGTCATTCCCTGATTCAGCATTTAGGTTTTATTAGTCACACCCTCAACACATCTCAACACTGTGTCGTGAAATACTCGTTTGCTTCTTTAAGCACTGTGTTTATAATCTAAATATAACAATACAATACATTATATACACCAGAGAACATATATATAATACATATAAGATGATGTGCAAAAAAAAGTGCAGAATTAAATGAGAATGTTAAATACTGAAATACTAAATAGTGTGCAGACTGTGAGCCTCTATTTGATTTGCCTTTTATATACTGCAGCAAATGACTATATTGTTTTAACTATTAATCATTTTTTTAGTCAATTTATTGAACATTAAAATAAAACAAACACAGAATTAAACTTGAAGCAATTAAAAACAGAAACAAACAATGAATGAGCAGCTCAGATAATATTGTTCATGTTCAAAAGGGTAAGAAGAACTTTGTGGTCCTACCCGTCTTATTTTTTATATATTAATCATCGATAATAAAAGTTAATTTACAGCCATCGGTGTCCGTGATATTGATTGTGGTCTGCTGAAACAAATCAGCCCTTTGAGACAGAATCAGAAACAAAAAATCTGAACAAATCAAACAGTTCACAAACAAGAAATTACCACATTTAAAATCACTGGTGCGACTCGTAACTGTTCAGTGTGTAAATATAATTATGATTTTTCTCAATCGTGTTTCCGAAGTAAAATGAATCTTAATTTTGTAAACCAGACGAAGACTGTTTGACGTGTTTTATTTTGTCAGATATTCAGTTTCACACAGACGATGAAAAAAGAGAAATGAAAGTAATTTGGGAGCAGGATGGAGGACGGTTTTATATTTTAGCTTGAGAAACATATTATATCAGTTTCTCAAAGTAGTTTCTGATTAATTTCCTGTTCATTCAGCTCAAGTTCTGTATAACTGTAAAGTAATATCATTATTATGTGTTTATTTTTAATTTAACTGAAACGTCAGAATCTTGAGTTGTCATTTAAATACAAGAACCTGGTCCGAAAGTGTCCAGATGAAGTCGACCACACGCTCCACAAACCGCTAACCTCTACAACCATTTAAAAAAGAATACTTCTTCTCTGACCTGAAACAGAAAGAAGAGCAGCAGAGTTCGTGCAGCAGATATCAGATACGTGACAGGTGTGATTATTGTTTGTGCTGTCGTTGACAAACTGATCACACGATAAGACAGGATCTGAGTGTGTTTCTAAACACTTCCTGGAGGAAACTGTACGTGGCATATGTGACGAATAAAGAGGCATCAGCTCATGCCGGCTCCTTATATGACACGCTGAATATAAACTCTGTTTCCAGTTGGCAGTTTAGTCGGTCCTTCATTAACCAGTGACTGAGTGCAGCCTGTGTTCACTCAGAGACTGAATTGTGTCTGTAACAGTGAGAATCAAAAGATACTGAAACATGTTGTGTTATTATTTGATCTGATAGTTCCTGAATTAAAATAATTTTTTCTTTTGACTCTATTATATTTGTAATATCAGCTGCTTATGTTTAGATATTTGACATTTGACAATTTTGGCTTCTTTTATTCAACGAAAAAATATTTTGTTTATTTCTCAAATATAATGACAAAAACTCTGTGTGTGTGTTCCACGTTTTTCTCCTCACTGACTTGGTCAATCCATGTGAAATTTGGCACAGTGGTAGAGGGTCATGGGA